TCTGAATTCGGGAAGTGATGTGTATTACATCACTTGCTGCATTCAGTGTCACTCTCCGGTACAGAAACCAGAGAGAAGCTGGTGAAGCAGGTCTCTGCTTCATCCGCTTCTCTGGTGTTCCCTAGGGAACATTAGGGGTCTTACAGACCCCTGATGTCTCCATAAAGAGGACCTGTCACTGCAAATTGGCTATCACATAGGGAGCTTGTTTGCTCCCTATGTGATAGCAATAAAGTTAAGTGAAAAAAAGTTTTACAAAAATGAAAGTTGCATAAAAAACTAAAAGTCACATATCAAAGCAATAAAAAAAAAAAAAATTAAAGTTCCCCGCCCCCCACATGCACACGCACAATTACATCCATTGTGCCGCACATGTTACATATCGCCGTGAACGTCGGAGTGAGAGCAATAATTCTAGGGCCATCAATCACTGATAACACTAAACTGATGAGCGGTAGAAAGCTTTTAAAGCGTCGTTTATAGTCAATTTTGGATATGGTATTTTTTTGCGATTTCGCGGGTGCGCGTAATTTTAAAGCTTGACATGTTTGGTGTCTATTTACCCGACGTGACCCCGACTTTTTACCAAAAAATTGAAATCATTCTAAGGCCCCATTCACACTGAGCGATTTATATTGCGGAAATTTACCGCGCGATATCGCTCTCCAATGCACGGCAATGGGGCTCTGTCCGTCGCTGTCGCGGGTCGTGCGTCGCTACAGCAGGACCCTTTTTGGAGTGTATTTTGCCGCGATTCTAGTTTGCTCAATGCAACCATTTGCGCGATATCGCGCAAAATGCAAAACGCGCGACAAACGCGCGATTTGCAAATCACTCAGTGTGAATGGGGCCTTAGTGGTCAAAGTTATTTGTAAAATAATTTTCACCTTTATTGAAATGTGGGCACGAGCAGAGAAATTGCCCAGAGCATCTTCCTAGATAGGCCCTTCATTAATGGGAGGCTTTCAGAAATATATTGGGACATCAGAAATGGCCGTCTCGCTTTTTTCATGGAAAGTATAGAAACACAGAAGTTTAGAAGCAGAGACCCCACAACCAACTGAACAGAGCGGCCCTTTTCTGCTCTCGGTTTGCTATATTCCTGTGGATTTGCTAAGTAACAAGACTTGCATTGGACGGTGTGCTTGCCGCTCTGCCCCCAGGCTTTGCACACGCTGCCAGTGTACGCTGTTACTCCGGGGAGTTTTTCAAAGCTTCTAGTCCGGAGGAGCGCGTTTCTGTAATTAGTCAGAACATTAATTAATGCTGACTAAGCCGTACCGTGTCTGTTCACCTGAGAGGCATTTCAAGGCTTTCCTAGAATCCTGTTCATAAGGGCAACCTGTACAGAAAATATATGCGGCTTGCTATTGCTGAGCTCTCCTTTTTAAATGTTAAAGTGCATTTAAAGCCAGAACTTTTTTAGGAGGGGATAAAACTAGGAATGCGCCAAATTTCAGCCGACGTAACATGGTAACTATGAGCAAAATGCTGATAGTACCAAAATGGCTGAAAATGCGGTACATCTCTATCTTCTCTCCTTCATGCTGAGCGCCGGTCTGTGTCCCCTCCAATCCCCACTGCTCTCCCCTGCCTTTGTCGGCTGAGGCCCAGTCTGTACTGACAGCGGGGATCAGAGGGGACTCAGAGCTGATCCAGCTGTCGGCACCCAGTGGGGAGTAGAGAAGCTGTGAGGAGACTGAATGGCATGGTGCAGAGAGGAGAGACCTGTCAGGATGCCGAGCAGGCAGTGCAGGGAGGAGAAACATGTCAGGATGCTGAGAGGGGCGGTGCAGGTGGAGAGCTCGGCTCCTGTGACAGACAGAGCAGTCAGGATGGAGAGCGGGGTACAAACACTCAGTGATCAGTACTGATCGCTGAGTGTTTGTAAATAACTGAGGACATAGTAAGCTCACTATGTCCACAGTTATGAATGAACAGGAAATTCTCTACATCACTTCCTGTTTATTCATGGACATAGTTGCTCCTCAGTTTATGAATGGACAGAAGCACTCAGTATAAGGGATTCCTGATCTTTCATAACATGGGGCTGCAGAAAAAGAGATTTAGGACTCTGTTTCCTCAATCTCTTTTTCTATGTTAAAAGGGAAATATAAGGGGTCTGTTTAAACCCCTGATATTTCACCAAAGCCCCCAACCGTACTATAAAAAATGTTTTTAAAAATACAAATCAAATAATTAACAAATAATGTTTAAAAATGTAAAAAGGTTGGAAAAAAAATCATTTTTGGTTTCAGTTTCAGCCTGACAAATTTGTTAATTTCGCTTTCGGTCTAAAAATTTCATTTCAGTGCATCCCTTGATAGAACCTCTGCCAGGTTTGTATTGCTGTCTGTGTCTCTGCTAAAAAAATGTTGGGACATGATCTAGAGGGAAAGGAGGTTTAAGGGTAAATTTGGGTAACGCCCAAATGTTACTGCTTGGTTTTAAATTATTCACTCTGCCCTGTTTACTTTAGAATGCTTTCATGTTCACCCGTGGGATAACACAGGCCAGTGCCGAACTGTGGGCGAAGATGTGCCTGAGCCAGTGAAGAGCTTTACTCACATACCAGCCACCTTGTCTTCCCTCGTCCATTCACAAAAAGCTTTCCATTCTTTTCACAGAATCCAAAGTGTTCTGTGAATGGCCGAGCGGAGAAAAGAGAAGGGGAGAGGAGGGGCGAGAATGCAACCGGATCTCTCCTCCTCCATTCACAAACAGTATTTAATGAAAAGATGGGGGGGTGATGGTGGTGGCGCATGTTACCGAGAGGGGGGGGGTGCGGGCTGGGGGGGGGCGCATGTACCATGGGGGTGTAAGATACCTCTTTCCGACTTCCTGCCCAGCTCACTGACGTCACTGAATGCCAACTAGGGTGTCCCGCTCAGCTCCTGGCAACTAGTGACTTCAGTCAGCTGGGCCGGAGGCCGGACAGAGCGTCATAGGTTGCTAAGAGCTATGTGACCCAGTGTGGTGCCGTCTGAGGCAACTACCTCATAGGGATGGCCCTGAATACAAGGCTTTTTATGAATGGGTTGGGGAGAGGAAGGAGCAGGTAAGCGACTGAAGACCTTCACAGTCTCAGCCGCATCTCTCATTTTGAAGTTCAGCTCTGCCTGTGTTATCCCACTGGTGAAAATCAAAGCATTCTAAAATGCACAGTACAGAGTGAATCATTTATCATTCCCCTTATTAGTTTGTTTTGTTTTGGATAGAGTAGGAAATGGTTAAAACCCATCAGCTTATTTTTAGCTGTCTCTCCGAGTTTAGCAGGAACACCCAAACCTCCAAATTGGGAGGGAACACTCAAACCCTAATCGTGGGACAGAACACTAACCTCCAATGTGGGCTTGAACACTGAAACCTCTATGGTGAGCAGGAACACTCAAACCACTGTGGTGAGCAGGAACGCTCAAACCTCTATGGTGAGCAGGAACGCTCAAACCTCTAAGGTGAGCAGAAACCTCTAGGGCAGTTAGGAATACCCATTTCTCCAAGGTGGGCAGTAACAACCAAACCTCCAAATCAGACAGATACTTGCACATTTTAAAGGTGGGCAGGAGTGCTCAAACTTTCAAGGTGGACAGGAACACCCAGAAATTCCAAGGTGGGCAGGATCACCGATTCTTCTAAGGTGGGCCCTAACATCCAAACCTCCTAGGTGAGAAGAAAAACCCAAACCTCTAAAAAGAGAGGGAACACTCATGTCTTAATGAAGGAGTGGAGACACACATAGGGACATGTCACCTATGAAGTCCCCAAGAAACATAGGAAACCGGTAGGTGATTTAGCTCAGCAGATTCCATTGGGTTTTCAATGTGACCATATTTCATGTTACACCCTGAATATGGGTGTAACATGAAACATGGTCTGAGAGGTAAGCTTAGCCTTTAACCATCACTTTTGAGTGGACTAACCCTTCAATTATGTGAAAATAAAGGTTTTGTCCAAATTTTAAAGTTACAAAATGCTCTCCTTTTTTTTTTTTACAGGTCCATGTCGCACTATTTCTATCAAGATACAGAAGGATTACGTTTACTAAAGACTGATTTTACAGTGTTATTCTTACAAAATAAATATCGTGGGATTACTTTGTGGATGCTTCAGTTCGCATTTTTCAAAAAAAAAAGACCTTTTGGTGTCGCAGAGAACCGCTTTGCTGCTAACGCCACCACTGCTCCTAATTAATACAAAAAAAAAGACACGGAAAGCCAGCAAGGAGGAAAAGGAACAGAAGCCAGCTCTTCTCTCCGAGTAAAACATATGTTGGTTCTTCCTCAGACATATGGGTCTCTGTACCAAAGCTAATTAAGATGTTCTCACCACCTAACGCGCCATCAAAAGTACGACACTCACTAATCAAGCGTCCATACGAAGAACCAGACATTTCTTTGTGTTTTTTCTTTTTCTTTAGAAGGATTGGCTTATGTTACATCTGACATAACAGATTTTGCTGACGATAATTAAAAAAACATAAAATGGCACACTGACAATAAAAAAAAAAAAGTTTTCCTGTTTTTATTCCCATGGACTTTCAGATCATCTTTGTTCTTGTTGGTATCTGTGTAATGGTAAACTATGGTGTATTTTTAGTGGACGCATGTGTTGAATGATCAAAACAGATGTTTAATATAAAGATGGCATGTCCTAGCTCCCAGGGTACAGTTAACCCCAGCCACAGTCAGCCTAGCAGGGCCGTATTTCCCACAAGGCCAACCAAGGCCCGGCCTTGGGGCAGCAGGGAGTAGAGGGGCAGCAGGGGTGGCGGGTAGGGGGGCGCATTGAGGAATTGGACGCATTGGCTTTGGGGCAGTAGAGAGAGTAAATCCGGCCCTGCCCACCAGGTCACTGGGTGGTCCTGTGCAGACCCACAGAGTGGCTCTAATTATGCAAGGGACAGTCATGGCCCCCAATCACTGTGGTGAATGCCCTTAATTATTACACATGTACAGTAGCTCAAATAGGGGTGACACTGGGGGGTTGGCGGTGCACTTCAGCCTTTGCAGGCTCTGCCGATGAACATCTGCAACCTGGGACGCACTGGCCGGCGTCCTGCAACCAATTACATCATTGGTTGCCAGGAGCTGGGTGGGACACCGGCCAGAGCATCCAGGTTGCTAAGAGCTGGGTGGAGAGATGTGTATGGCCCTTAGACATCTTCCCACCCAGCTCTCAGCAAACTGGTACACTCTCTGGCTGGAAAGGGGGAGGCAGGCACACTGCAAACATTGTGCAGCAGAGCGGCCATGCTGCTCTGCCTGCCCCCACCCCCCATGACCCAAAGAAATGCCGCTGAGGCAAAAAACCTCATGCTCTTGTCTAAATTTAATTCCGAAAACCATGAAACCCAGGACATGTGCAGTAGACAAATTGGAATATAGGAACCCCGTTCCTGATACAGACTTGTAAAATGCTGGGGTTACCCCTTAGATTCAACTTGCAGCAAAGTTGCTGTCTGTACAGCGTGCATGTTAAGCGTCTCCCTGGGGCACTGGAGCTCAACCTAGACAAGCAGAGAGTATGTCTACTCAACC